TGCCTTACTAAGGCTACTTAAAATCAAACAAATACAAAGCCAATATTCATAACTTTGAATATAAAAATGATACATGCATGCATACAAATAGGATGAATATATTCAGTAGATCATAACCTTTACAGAGATATGTTACATGGCATATATAGCATAAAACATATTCCAGTTATGTCATATATACATTCATAAGCATATTTCCATAAAGCATTATGGGGTGCAACATCACAGGGTGTTTGCATGGCACTGTTGTAGCCTGCGTCACAAGATATTTACTTGCCAGATCCGCTAAAGATTCATATGTCTCTTCATGCTTCAACCACCATTCCAGAGGTCATGCATCCATGCTGATGACGGGTTCTGCTCAATAACGATCCAAAGCAGAGCGGACCGACAAATGTTCATTTTCATCATCTGAGACAGATGCCACCAGCAGAAGGTTAATTTTCTTTTTTGGTGGTTCGGGTTCTGTAGTTTCCCCATCAAAGTGTTGCTCTTTTAAGACTTCTGAAAGCATTCCACACCTCATACCTCTCAGATTTTGGATGGCACTTCAGATTCTTAAACCTTAGGTCAAATGCTGTAGATATCTTTAGAAATCTCACATTGGTACCTTCTTTGCATTTTGTCAAATCTGCTGTGAAAGTGTTCTTAAAACGAACATGTGCTGGGTCATCATCCGAGACTGCTATAACATGAAATATATGGCAGAAGGTGGGTAAAACAGAATAAGAAACATATAATTCTCCCCCAAAGAGTTCAGTCCCAAATTGAATTAATGCTTTTTTTTTTTTTTTTTAACAAGCGTCAAGAGCATGGAAGCATGTCCTCTGGAGTGGTGACCAAAGCATGAAGGGGCATACAAATGTTTAGCATATCTGGCATGTAAATCTCTTGCAATGCCAGATACACAAGTGCCACACAAATGCCTGTTCTCACTTTCTGGTGACATTGTAAATAAGAAGCAGGCAGTAGTACTGCCATAAATAACAAACCTGTTTGTCTTAGCGATTGGCTGAACAAGAAGTAGGACTGAGTGTACTTGTAAGGCTCTAAACTTTTACATTGTTTTGTTTTTGAGTGCAGTTATGTAACAAAAAATATCTACATTTGTAAGTTACATTTTCACAATAAAGAGATTGCACCACAGTACTTGTGTGAGGTGAACTGAAAAATACTATTTCTTTTATCATTTTTAAAGTGCAAATATTTGTAATAAAAAATATCAAGTGAGCGCTACACTTTGCATACTGTGTTGTAATAGAAATCAGTATATTTGAAAATGTAGAAAAACATCCAAAAATATTTAATAAATTTCAGTTGGTATTCTATTGTTTTTAACAGTGCAATTAATAGCGATTAATTTTTGAGTAATCATGTGAGTTAACTGTGATTAATCAACAGCCCTAATAAAAACGTATTGAACATGTTTACCTTTTCAGTATCATTATTAACAATTTTACCATCTCCACTTAGTAATGGACCTATACAATTTTTTTTGTTTGGTTGGGGGTTTTGCTGTTTGTTCCTAATGTACTTACACTATTTTATTGTGCTTAGATCAGCCAGACATTCTCTCCCCCCAACGTCTTTACCTTCTCTTATCATTTTTTATGTCATAACTTCCAATTTATATTGATTGTATTCTAATTCTATTCTCCTGTTTTTCATTTGTAATATACAATATTGCTTTTTTGTTTCTAATTGCTGCCTTCTGAACGAGCATGGGCTTTTAGCCAGAGTTGCCCTTGATTATGGAATTGTAGGTTTGGGGCCCTCTCATAAACTCTTCTTTAAGAACTCCCAATTTTCATTCGCAGTTTTTCTGTCTACATTTTTTTTCTTCCACTCAATTTGACTCATCATTTTCCCTAGCTTTGAGAAATTAGCTTTTTGAAGCATCAGGATATATATGTTACTCCTTGTGACTTTCTTCAGTTTGGCCATATTCCGTGTAATCGGGTCATGATCATTAGTCCCTATATATATCTATATCTATCTATATGTGTATGTATGTATAAGTTTTAGAAACTAAGAATATTTTACTACTGGTTGCATGAAACCTCTTGTATATGTCTCCCAAATTGAAGTTTTGTCCATAATAGCACAATTTTGCTTTCTACACATTAGACGGGTGCTTAAGAAATAACTCCCCCTATTTGCTGATTTGATTTGCAGGTCTGTAACTGATCCAGAAACTAAGGTTTCCCCCTCCCAACCTTAGCAACCCCTGTGATGTGTCACTCCTTCCTTAGATATTTTTAAGGTCAGGCTTGACAAAGCCCTGGCTGGGATGATTTAGTTGGCGATTGGTCCTGCTTTGAGCTGGGGGTTGGACTAGATGACCTCCTGAGGTCCCTTCCAACCCTGATATTCTATGATCTAACCACCATTTAAAATCATGGAAATAGAAATAAATTCAAGAAAGATATTGATAAATTGGACAGGGTTAAGAGAAGAGCCACAAGAATGATTAAAGGATTAGACAACAAGTCTTATAGTGATAGATACAAGCTCAATCTATTTACTTTAACAAAGCAAAGGTTAAATGGAGACTTGATTACAATCTATAAGTACCTGTATTGGGAACAAATATTTAACAGTGGGCTCTTAAGTCTAGCAGAGAAAGATATCCTGATCCTGGAATTTGAAACTAGACAAATTCAACTGGAAATAAGATGTAAATTTTTAACTGTAAGAGTAATCATTGGAATGATTTATCAAGGGTGGTGGTGGATTTTATATCACTGACTACATTAAAATCAAGCTTGGATTTTTTTTTTAAATATGCTCGAGAAAATATTTTGGGAAAGTTCTAGGGCCTGTGCTACACAGGTCAGACTAGATTATCACGATGTGGTCCCTTCTGGGCTTAGAATCTATGACTAAAAGATGGTTCTGTAACTCCTCCTGTAACGATTGTGATAGTTAGTTACCATCCAATCCCTAGCAGAGACCTAGAGAACATGTTGATCACTGACAATATTGCCAACCATGAGTGCTCAAAAATCAGGCTGCCCAAAATAATACGCTTTAAAAATCATGATTTTTAAATATATATAGTTTTTACTGGTATTCTGTTTTTTAACACTCAGATCATATTTTTAAGCTTTCCTGTGCAACCATGAGGGATAGAAGATTATTATTTTATAAAATAATGAAATCCTATAGTCACATGCCTCCAGGAGCTGGGGCTGTAAGAAATACACTGAATATTAGAATAATGCAGTGATGTCACATCCATTACTGAAAAGCTGATGTGGAAACTGGTTCAGTTCATGTATCCCCAGTAATTTATTTTATTTCAAAAATGCAGATTTAGCACAATTGTTTGTATAGGTTAGGCAGTGGTTGAAAGCCTACCATTTCAGTTTTCTCTTTTGACATTTCTGCAGTGACAGCTTCTATTATTGTGCACTCTTTAAAACTATTTTGATTAGTTCACAGTAACCCATCACCAGATCTCCATATCCATTGCATATATGTAAAACAGCCAGACCATGAAAACTAGTTTTAGGAATGGTATTTCTACCAATGGGTGGACTTGGTACAGTATCATTATACACACATGTCACATGCTGATGTCTTCAAGATCAGTGTTTTCTTACATGGGTAAAGAGCCTTATGGGGTGTCCACTGTTGACCGGGTGTGATAGTATAAGAGCGGTAGGGTGAGCAAAGAGATATAGGACCCTCAAACCTCTGCATTTCCACTGCAACCAGGTTCAGGGGCAGCGAGTTATATACAGTCATGGTGCCCAGGCTCCAGCAATATTCAGGGCCTGGGGGCCCAGCTCCACCAATGTTTGGGGCTGGGTCTCTCCCCTGGCCTTGCCTGCTTTCCCCGCACCTTCCCCAAATGTCCCCCAACCCCCACTCATCTCCCCAGGCTTCGGTGCCTGCTCTGCGGGCTCCCCGCATCAACTGCTGCTGCAGGGTCCTAGTACCCCCGCCCCATTCACTAATGCCCCTAGCCCTGAGCCTCTCCAATGCTCCAAACCCCTCAACCCCAGCCAGAGCCCTCATCCTCCCACACCCCAATTCTCTGCCCTAGCCCTGAGCCCCTCCCACACCCCAAACCTCTCATCTTCAGCTCTCACTTACCCCCTCCTATCCCCAAACTCCCTCCCAGAGCCCGCACCCCCTCCACCCCCAAACTATCTTCCAGAGCCTGCACCCCTCACTCCCTCCTGCACCCCCTCCCCCACCCAAACTCCCTCCCAGAGCCTGCACCCCAATCCGCAGCCCAGGGCCTGCACCCCAGACCTCCTTCCCCCACCCAAACTCCATCCCAGAGTCTTAGGCAGATTTGGGGTATGGGTAATGGAGTTTGGGGCAGAGTGGGTTCTGGGCACCACCAAAATTTCTACAAACCTGCCACCCCTGACTGTGTCCCATTCCCTGCTCCTGCTATATATGCTCCCTCACAGTCAGCTCTAGGAACAGCTCCTGCAGGGCCAGGCCTCAGCCCCTTGCACCAAGCAAGGCAGCTCTCCAGTGACGAGCATGCCCAACCCTGCTTTGCAGAGCCCTCCCCAGCGTGCTGGAACAATTGTTATACTGGGGGTGCTGAAAGCCACTGAACCAAACTGTAAACTCTGTACCTAACTCAAATCGCTTCAAGCCAAGGGGTGAGCATTACCCTCTGCCCCCCTCTTTCAAGCAGCGAGGGCCGCCCCTTCCCAGCGGCTCCTCAGAAGAAGACGCCAGGGGAACGAGCAGGTGCCAAACACTGGAAAGTGCACAATGAAATGACACAGGCGAAGGGATGGGCAACGCCCCAGCGGCTGAACAGACCACAACGGGAGGCCGGTCCGCCGCGGCGGGCTCGCCGGCCTTCTCCTTGCGCGCGCGCGCACCCAGCCGCAGCGCGCGCCATCTTGCGCACGCCGGGCCGGGACAGCCTCCAGGCGCGCGAGAATCTCGCCGCCCCCGCGGTGTCGCCAAGCGCCGCCCCGCTACACGAAGCCCCACCCACTCCTCTTCTCATTGGGCCCCGGCTACAGCCCGTCAGAGCCGGCGCCGCTGAAGCGGGAGGCGCTGAGCCGGGCTCGCTGGAACGTGGCGGCGCGGCGCTTCCCGCTCTGCTCCGGCTGCGGTGTCTGAGCCGCCGCGGGCGGGGTCGTGGCTGGCCTGGGCCGTGCTTGTGCGGAACTGCCGTTGACTCTGTGTGCTGCACGGGGCACGACGCAGCTATCCTCCCCCAAGGTCTGGCTCCTGTAGAAAGGTGGGTGATAATCCCCCCAGTACCCCGGTATAGTGCCTGTCTGCGGAAAAGACACAGGGTGGGTCAGGAGCATCGTCCGTGCTCATCTGTTGTCCTGATGATTGTTAATAAGCAAATGATCAGTGTGGTGAAGTAAAAGGCACCTTAACTTAAGCCTGCACTGAGCGTTTCAGCCTTGACAGTCAGCAGAATTAATAGAAGTTTCGATATTTACTTTCCTCCAGAACTGTTGATATTTGCCCTGGGACATACTGAATCTGTAAACGAAGCTTTAATAAGGAGTGGGTTTATGTGTATTCATACATATAAAAAGGAGCTTATGCTGTTTGTTTGGTCTGTGCATGCTATGTAAAGTAAAAACTTGCTCCACCACCCCATGACATGATAAATTTGTTACTTGTGGATCTAGGACTGTACTGTAATCCTTTTTTGTAGATCTGCTCCTGTTTCATTATTTGTACATGTGCATTAGGAAGATTACCTTTATAGTCTAAGTCTGTCGTCTCTTAATGTAGACTCTCTTCCACAAACATTTTCCTTTTACTGCAATGGAGACTGAAAGTCTCATGACTCTTTATGAGGATGACTCTGTAGAAGTGCACTATACAGATGGATCCAGACTGCTTCTTTCCCCCTGTGGCTCTGAATTCCTGTTTGAAAAGGCACTTCCTGACTCTGCCCATCCTCTGCAGCCAGCTGAAAGGATTCGCCAAAGGACTCAGTTTGTTATTAGTACCTACCGAGTACGTGAGTTAAATTTCTTTTTCTATGCTGTCTCCAAATAGAGCAAAAATAAAGGAGAAGAGCAGGTGGGATAAGAAGGTAGTACCATGGCACATTTTTATTCCTTCCATTATAGCAGCAAACCACATAAAAATGTTCTTTAAAAAGGTGGTCGAAATACTGAATGAACTGCCAGTGTTAGCAATCAAAGTAAACATTGTCAGTCAGCTGACATGTTCTTCTCAAATGTATAGAAGCCCATTGTGGGTGGATGATATATCTGGCCCTTACTATTCCGAAAGTCTAGGTAGATATCTTAATGTTGATTGGTAGTTCACACAGTGCTTTTGCATTGTAGAGAAATTGTGATGGCATTGTTGGTTATCAGTGTACAAATAATGCTGAATTCTTAATCACTATTTTCCTCCCAAAAAGAGGAGATAAAGCAACCACTGAAATGTTCCCACTGCATAGCCAGTTCCATGATAACGTGTCTCATACTTTTTCCTCAGGAGCAACTCCTACGAGCACTAGATTTCCGGAACCAGTTTTGTACTTCCTTGTATTTACCTTCAAGTATCATACCTTCTGAAAGGAAAAATGTAAGTTTTGCATACCTAATAATATTTTTGTAAAGTAAACTTCAGTGGGAGTCTGATTCAGTGATTTTTTTTTCTTTTAGTTTGTTTTACTTTCATAGTATGTGTTCATTTTAAGTTTGGTAAATTAGGTTTAGAAAAAATTGATTTTAAGTTACATAAGAAGAACATCAGAATGGCCATACTGGGTCAGACCAATGGTCCATCTAGCCCAATATCCTGTCTTCCGACAGTGGCCAATGCCAGGTGCTTCAGAGGGAATGAATAGAACAAGTAATCATCAAGTAATCCATCCTGTGTCACCCATTCCCAGCTTCCTCCAAGCAGAGGCTAGTGACACTTCAGAGCATGGTTTTGCATCCCTACCCATCCTGGCTATTAGCCATTGATGGACATATCCTTCATGAATTTATCTAGTTCTTTTTTGAATTCTATTATAGTCTTGGCCTTCACAACATCCTCTGGCAAAGAGTTCCACAGGTTGCCTGTGCGTTGAAGAAACCTTTGGTTGTTTTAAACCTGCTGCCTATTAATTTCATTTGGTGACCCCCAGTTCTTGTGTTATGAGAGAAAGTAAAGAACACTTTCTTATTTACTTTCTCCACACCAGTCATGATTTTATAGACCTCGATCGTATTCCCCCTTAGTCATCTCTTTTTCCAGGCTGAATTACATTATTAATTGAAACTTGAAAAACGATTAAAATGTTTCAAGCTTCAACTTAGATGTATTGTATGCATGGTCTCTACTGCTGAATAATAAAGATATCACTTAACTTTTTTTTTTTAGTTCAATTTACCAGTAAGAATAAAATCCAAGACTTGTTGCAGTACATAGTATATCTTCATTTTGGCATATATCTGGGGTTTGAGGTAGATACAGGATTTGGTTTACTTTGTGTAAGATGTTGGAAATTATTTTATTTAACGTTATTTAGTTTGGTAAAAGCACCGAATATTAAAATGATGGGCACAGTAGAAAAAGTTATACAAGAATGTAAGTTGAAGCAATAATCTGTACGTGGATGTAGCTAGGTAGTTGAGGTGTAACTGATCTAACGTCAGATTTTGACACCTTTTTTGCAAATAGGTTTAACAAGTACATTTTCAGGTACCTCTGAAATGTGATACCACAAAAGGTCTAAATTCATTATTATATTTTAAAATTTCCTTTGGAAACATATTCTAGGCACTTCAAAAGAGATCCACCTCACTAAATCACCACAGCTGCTGCCCTATTGGTAGGCTTGGAAGGATTAGATTTATTTTTTAAACGTTGTTTTCACTGTACACAAACTGAAATAAACATATTTCTGTCTATCATAATTGAAATTTACAGATGGGCAAAGTTTTAAAAAAAAATGCCACTTGAGAACTTCTTAGTTTTTGATTAAAGGATAATTACTTTGTATATTTTGACATGTGATGTTGACAAATTGTGTTTTTAACAGTTAAAAAGCTTTAATTTTTGAGTTCCAGCATCTACTGTCATTAAATAACTATTGTCTGACCTCCCTCCATGATTTTGCACAACTGTGAAAATTTAAATGGATAAAAATAAAAAAATGCTTAAAAATAAACTAACTCTAGCCACTGAAATTATTTAAAAAAAATTCAAATTCTGCGAAGCCTACTTATTGGCAGTCTCAACAGAGAGGTCAACGATTAAATGAGCATGAGCATAGTAACTAAATTACTCCTTTAGCACTGGGTATAGTTCCGCTACAACAGGAAGAGGTACACTTGAGAAGTGAAGTGAGAAGTCTTATTTTATAGATAAATAGGAACCTTCACTCTTCACCACTGTCACCTTTCAGAAGAACTAAATTCACTTAAAATAGATTTTACTACCTTCTGTTCATTTTCTTCTTTTTAGATTCTTCTCTCTGATATCTCAGAAATCAATTGGCCGAGCCCCAATGCTACTGATGCAGCAGAATGTATGGATAATGGCAGTGTAACAATCTCATCCTTAGATGGTCATGCTTATCTCTGCATGTCAGAACTGCAACAAGAATTTACAGTGCAGTTTTTATGCAAAGTAAGCCAAAAGTATGCAGTGTCTTCATCTTTCTCTGAAAAAAACAGCAATAATGAAAACAAAGGTCAGCATGGAAAATCAAGCCGAAGTTTTATCTCAGAAATGTTTCCTAAACAGATGAGAATGGAGAATAAGAAAGAGGAACGTTGCTGGACTGTAAACAAATACAGGGAACTGGACAAATCAAAGGACTATTTAAACCAAATAAAGGGACAAGATGAGGCCCCATTGTCTCTTACATGCTGTTCATCTGAATACATGTGGGTTATGCAGCGCTGGTCTGTTTCCTCATATCCAGAAGAATGGAAATACCCTTTGTCCTTGGCATTAATGTTCTGTCAGTTGCACACTGATAACATACATAAAACATATGTGAAGAATAAATGCACTAGAGATAGAACTGTGGGATCTGATGTTTTAAAGCAAAGTGAAAAAACAAAGGCAGTTTCTCATCTGCCTAGAGCTTTGCCACTCAGCTGTAGTGCACCACATCTACACAGGTAACTGGAAATGTTTGCTTTTTAATTTTGTGTAATATATTACAGTTCCCTAGATCTGAACAGCAGATCTTCAACAGCCTGGTTGAATATTAACCATCATAAAATGTCTATTTAAAATAAAACATGTAACAAACACCCTTTTCTTACAAACTTCATGAAATGTGGTATTCATAAGACCAACAATACTTAAACCGGTGTAAGAAATTGTAATATCAATCTGAAGAAAAATGCTAAGCTTTAATAGTTGGTTTGTTATGGAGAGAGAAGCTCTACTTAAACAAATATGCAATTAATAATGGGGATATTGAAAAAATACATTACAACCACTTTAGGTTTTGGGAAAATAATGCTTGGGAAGTTTGCCAGCGGCATGGACTACTTTTTTTTTTTTTTTAAACTTTATTTTCAGAAAAAGGAAGAGGATGGGAGGGGTGTTGTTGGTTGTTCACAAAAACATGATTCATATTTGATTATAAGTAACTTTTTCCATATAAAGGATGAGCGGGAAAGTAGAGCTCTAACTTAGAAAGTCAGATTAAATGGTGGTAATTGAGCAGACTGAGTGTCCTTGAAACAATTTTTTTAAGGGTCACAAAGTTTGAACACTGTCTCACGCCAATTTACTCTGAGACCTTTCATTGACCTGAAGAATAATTTCTTAGCTAGTAGGGTGTTTCTCAATTCATCCATTTGCAGTTCCTGAATATGCGCTGCTTCTTTGAGTTGAGTATTGCATTTTATATATATATATAAATTTTTATCAAAAATTAAGCAAGTTAAGCAAAGATTTCCCTGGCTTCTTAGAACAGTGCAAAATATTAGTAATAATACTGATAAACTGCAAACTTACTACAGCTTTTCTGTCTTTGACTTTTGCACAGATGGAGTTTCTGTGACTTCTTTCTACAGAGGAAGCAAGACAGTGAACATAATTCACACTCTCTACTTATAAAAATTGTTTGGTGCCAGGGTATTGTTTACAGGTAAGAAACAAATAATTTGTTCACTTTTGGAAGCTTGTGCAATTCTATGGGAATTAGGCTTTTAAAAGATGAAATTTCCAGATTCAAATCTCTATTTTACTTACTGAGGAGTTACATTTAATGTTCTGATCATGTTTCTGCTGTGTTTATCAGAGTTCATTACTCTGAAATAAAACTTTGTAGACTGTGACTGTGGCCATTGTGGTATTAGCTTGGGAGTAAACATTTGTCACTGAATTGAAAAATGTTTTATTCAGTCATTTTTTAATTATATGAACTTTTAAAAAGGTGCTTCAGAATTTCTTGTGCTTGAAAATTCTGGGCTGGGTATGTATTTTACAAATAAAGTTAGAACTCTGAAGCCACATTTAAAACCCCTAAATAAGAGGACTGGTGGATTTTTTTATTTTTTTTTTGGAGTCGGGTGTGGGGAGGGGAGTATTGCGCTCCTGTAGGTCCTGTGGACATCTGCCGGAGTTTGGCTCCTCTGAAAATCATGCTCCTTGATTAGGGCTAATTTCAGGCAACCAAGTTTTAATATGCTGGTCTCAGTTTCTAAATGAATCCAGATTTAGCAATCAGCCAAACTTTAATATGGACTAATTGTATAGATTTATATGCAAATCATTTAAAATAGGGCTGTCAATTAATCGCAGTTAACTCATGTGATAAACTAACTCAAAAAAATTAATCGCGATTAAAAAATTAATTGCAATTAATTAAATTTTTAATCGCACTGTTAAACAATAGAATACCAATTGAAATTTATTAAATATTTTGGATATTTTTCTACATTTTCATATATATTGTATTCTGTGTTGTAATTGAAATCAAATTGTATATTTGATTATAAATATTTGCACTGTAAAATGATAAAAGAAAAATTTTCAATTCACCTCATACAAGTACTGTAATGCAATCTTTGTCATGAAAGTGCAATTTACAAATGATTTTTTTTATTACATAACTGCATTCAAAAACAAAACAATGTAGAATTTCAGAGCCTACAAGTCCACTCAGTCCCACTAGTTCAGCCAATCGCTAAGACAAACAAGTTTGTTTACACTTACAGGAGATAATGTTGCCCTCTTATTATTTACAATGTCACCAGAAAGTGAGAACAAGCATTTGCGTGGCAATTTTGTAGCCTGCATTGCAAGGTATTTATGTGCCAGATATGCTAAACGTTCATATGCCCCCTTCATGCTTTGGTCACCGTTCCACAGGACATGCTTCCCTGCTGATGACGCTCATTAATGCATTTTTTTAATTAAATTTGTGACTGAACTCTTTGGGGGAGAGTTGTATGTCCCCGGCTCTATTATGCCATATATTTCATGTTATAGCAGCACATGTTGTTCATTTTAAAAACACTCACTGCAGATTTGACAAAATGCAGAGGAGGTACCAGTGTGAGATTTCTAAAGATAGCTACAGCACTTGACCCAAGATTTAAGAATCTGAGGTGCCTTACAAAATCTGAGAGGGACAAGGTGTGGAGCATGCTTTCAGAAGTCTTAAAGGAGCAACACTCTGATGCGGAAACTACAGAACCCAAACCATCAAAAAAGAAAATCAATCTTCTGACTCAGATAATGAAAATGGACATGCATCGGTCTGCACTGGTTTGGATTGTTACGAAGCAGAACCCATCTTCAGCATGGACACATGTCCCCTGGAATGGTGATTGAAGCATGAAGGGACATATGAATCTTTAGCATCCCTGGCACATAAATATCTTGCGACACCGGCTACAACAGTGTCATGAGAACACCTGTTTTCACTTTCAGGTGACGTAAACAAAAAGAAGGCAGCATTATCTCCTGCAAATTTAAACAAACTTGTTTGAACGATTGGCTGAACAAGTAGGACCGAATGGACTTGCAGTCTCTAAAATTTGACATTGTTTTATTTTAGAATGCAGGTTTTTTTGTACATAATTCTACGTTTGTAAGTTCAACTTTCATAATAAAGAAATTGCACTTTAGTACTTGTATTAGGTAAATTGAAAAATCCTATTTCTTTTGTTTTTTGACCGTGCAAATACTTGTAATCAAAAATAAATGTAAAGTGAGCACTGTACACTTTGTATTCTGTGTTGTAATTGAAATCAATGTATTTGAAAATGTAGAAAACATCTAAAAATTTTTAAATAAATGGTATACTGTTATTAAGTGTGATGAATCGCGATTCATTTTTTTAATCGCTTGACAGCCCTAATTTTAAAGTAAGATTATTTAAATGCTTCTTTCACATTTGCTGTTTAACTGTCTTTATTTGAAAAAGTTTCGGTTGTCCTCAAGACACTGAAATGAGAGACTTTGGTATTTTGTCCTTCACAGTAGTATAGTGGAAAAGGAAATACTTTAAAGATTCATTCTTTCTCTAGAATATCTGTTTGCCAAATAACAGTGAGCGTGAAATTATTTCTGAACTTTCCAAATGTTTACCCTACATGAGCAGACTGGCTATTAAGGCCCCAGTTCTGCAATTCATTCCACATGTGTTTCCCTGTACCCATGTAAAGCCATTTGGACTTCAGTGGGGCTTTTTGTGGACAGAGCACACTGCACACCCAGATTAAGTTGGAGAACTGGGCCCTGGTCTAGTCATAGATCACATAATGTTATGTGATCATGTAATGAAAAATCCTGTATCATATCAAAATAACTATATGCAACGAAGAGGTGGTAAGGTTGCGAAGTTAGCATTAAATCTGAATTTCCTGTCTCTTGCAGGGTTTAATCAGAACTTCCCTCTAATGTGGACGTACACCTCACTCCTCCATCATTGCTATATTTCATTTCCAATACCTGTGGATGAATTATGTTTTTATGGGATAGCTACTTATATTTAAGAAACTAAAAAAAGGCTCTCTCCAATTTTGTAAAAACATAAAGCTAAGATTCCTTTTTAAAGGGGAAAATAAAAAGTAGCAATAAGAATACTGTTTGGGGAAACAAGGAAATAACTTTTCATGTGGTGGCTTTGGTGAAAGGATGTGTATTCACATCTAGTAAATTTAAAAAAAAAAAATTCCCTTTAAATGGCAATACTGATAGTTAACGACTTTTGTGTTCTGTCTTCTGATCTCATAGGCTTATCCATGATATTGAAAACTTTATAGAAATTTATCCTGGAGACGGATCAGTTTTCAAGTCAGAAGGAGCATTTTTGGGAAACTATTTTACACATTATTCAGTTCACAAAGAAACAAGACAGGTGGGAATCGCACTACTTAAAAAAATCAGACTGTTTTACTACTTGAATACTACTCCTAATTTTCCATTCAGTGTTATCAGCATATTTCACGTTAAGAAACTGCTATAACAGGACAGGTTTCAGAGTAGCAGCCGTGTTAGTCTGTATTCGCAAAAAGAAAAGGAGTACTTGTGGCACCTTAGAGACTAACAAATTTATTTGAGCATAAGCTTTCGTGAGCTACAGCTCACTTCATCGGATGCATGGACAGTTTGTACTAAGACATTGTTCTAGTTTAAGTCACACTTTAGTATTTTGCATGAAAGTTACACTGAAGATTTTTCAATAATGTATTTTTATCACTTGTGAATTAGAGAAAAATCTGGTTAGAACATTTATCTCAAACTCAAAAAAGTAGGTATTGTGATCCCATATTCTCTATTTTTTTTCCTCTGTTAAGATTTTTCCCGTTAAAAACTTCATCTTGAATTTATTTTTTTTTAAATAGCATCAAATGTCCAGAGTGTCAATTTTAAGTGGTAGCTCTCAGTTCTTAAGCTCTCTTACTAAATTCTGATCTCCTTTATTAAAACAAGACAAATAAAAGAGGCAGTGTGGGGCAGTGGACAGGACCTAGCAGACCTGGGTTCTACTCCTTGTTCTGTGACTGACCTACTTATGTTTGGACAAGTCACTTCACCTCTCTGTCTCTGTTTTCCCTCTCACCCTTTCTTTCTTATCTATATTTATTTTATGTTCTTTGGGGCAGAGCCTATCTCAAGTATTTGTACAGTGCCTAGCATAATGGGTTTGGGGATATCCTGATTTTTGCTGGTGCTGCGATAGTATAAATAATAAAGGGGTGAGTGCAAAAGAACAGAAAATACAGGAAAATGCAGCTTGTGTGTCTAGGATGCAGTTCAGTTGCTAAATGACCGCAGGTGGCACAGCAAATGACTGAGTTGGCAACTGCAGACTCAGTAAAACCTCCACAGTGAATCAGTTTATAAGATGGTCACAGCAGAGTGTTGCAAAGTGTAACTTGTTCTGGCTGTCTAAACCAGGCTCTTAAAATGAGGCCCTTGAAGGGGGACGGGATGGAAATTGACTCACACGGTGTGTGGATAACATGAACCTTAAGTTCACGTCTTAGGAGTTGCTAAGAACACAACCCTAGAAATAGTTATGTTTGGTTCTGTCTCCTTACTTGGTCTGGTCAGAATATCTTTCAAAATCAGATAATAGGAATTTAGCATCACAGTTGGACCTTGGTGAAAGGCCTTGGTCCAAGGGGATGACCATGACAGGATGCTTGTTTGATGTGGTGGTGGTGATGCCTCCTCCCATGCTGAATAAGATGTCTGGTGTGCCTCAAAAAGAACCATTCAAAATAGGGGCGGCAACCTTCATAATCTTTTTATTCCATCAAAATTATCCAATCAAAATAAGTTTCTGATGTTCCATAGAGGCAATATTGCTTTAAGATTTCGGTGCATTGTCATGATAGTTTTGTAATCTCACCAGGTCAAGGTATAGTCATTCATTCCGTTTATATTTTCTTTGACTGTTCCCTGCTTTCTCTCAATATTTTATTTAACATGTTGACAAGGGAAAATGACTCCCTTGCCATCTTTCAAGCACTTTGGATAGTTTAAGAATTTAAAGCAGGGTAAAGTTCCACACAACAGGTCTCAAAACTGGTTCATTACTTGGAATAGCATCACATTTACAGATGATAGGCCAAAATGTGCCCTCATAAAAGTACTCCGTTCCTATTTAGTCTGTGCAATTTTTGTACTTATGTCTGAGTGTAGAATATGGTCTAATTAATATGACTGCCCTGTAGCTTTGAAAGGATATTCTTATTTGTCCTTCAGCACAAACATGCTGCTATAACAGTTCACTGGGCGAAAAAATGCCCCAAACTTGGTATCTTGCTAGTTCTTAAATACCGCAGTATCTATAAATAAGTCCTCTATTTTCTGTTATGTTCTAGAGAGAAGAAAACATGTATTCAGCAAACAGTCTGCCTCCGGATACACCAGAAAGTCCATACTCCATCTGTTCCATTATTACCCAGGCAACCAGGTGAATTATTCCTTTTGTTTTATTTTTGTTATATGAATTGCTCTAGCCCTTTGGAAGGGCATTCAGTAACAAAGATGACAAATAATGATTACCATGTTGTTCTAGTTAGACTTCAACTATAACTGTGAGTATAAGAAATAAAGCAAATTAAATTATATCAACAGTATCAGAAAAATATATAAACATAATGAAATTAGGTTACAAAATAGACCCTTAATAGTAACTGTGTGTAAATGAAGCTACAGTAAGTAATTGTGCAGTGCAGCATGTTTTCTGCATATGAGAGATGTATTTTTTCCTTCTCAGAATTCTCCAGTACTGTTACAAGACTAAACTTTCATTAACCCATAATTACAGTATCTGCTGCTGGAGAATGGTATGTAACTGAAGACTTGTAACTTGTAGACTTGTAAGTATGTTAACATTTGAACTGCTAGCATGTGTTTAGTAGGGTCTATAGACAGCTTCTGGGTAAAAGAGAGGTGGTGTTGGAATTAGTAATAACATTTGAAATTCATAATATTGATCTGGCTAACAACCAAACACTAATTTAGCCATAAATTCCTTTATTAAATCCAAAGGCCATATGGTATTTACACCATTGCTCTAAACATGCCTAAAAAGCCTAACTAATAAGCAACTTACTATGTCTATAAACAGTACAAAACATTGATAAGCATTTGATCAAGATACTTACAAATGAGCTAAACTTGTGGGTGCTTAGACCCATATTGGTCAGCTTCAGTGTGGTCAGGCAGGTATTAGCAATGAAGTAAGAGTTTACTTTTTATACCCTTTAACAAACAAGTAATGTCATTGCCAGTTACTGACTTCAGCTAAAAACCAAGTTGAGACAATTCCCCCTTATTTCTAGTCTTAATCCAGATAAGAATTAGACCCTCCTTTCTTCCCAAGGCCTTTCCTTTCGTACCTTCTCCCTCCCACCCCCAAGCAGAACAGTGGGAAGATTTGGACTTGTTTCTTTTAAGATAGTTTTTCTTTGTCTTGTTACTATAGCTCTTTATTTTATTAGTTACTTTTGAAACCATACATTGGGGTGGGCAAACGTTTTGGCGTGAGGGCCACATCTGTGCATAGAAATTATATGGCAGGCCATGAATGCTCACAACATTTGGGTTGGGGTGTGGGAGGGGGTGAGTGCTCCGGCTGGGGGTGCAGGCTCAGGGGTGGGGCTGGGGATGAAGGGTTTGGGGTGCAGGAAGGGTGCTCCAGGCTGGGACCAAGGAGTTCAGAGGGTGGGAAGAGGATCAGGGCTGGGGCAGAGGGGTGGCTCAGGGGTGCCGGCTCCGGGAGGCACTTGTTATACCAATAAATTAAAAACCAGCAGGATCTTATTAAAAGGGAAAAAGGCAAAATACCACATTTATTGTGAATACAGAAAGAATCATAGTAGGCAGTTAGTTATAGTTATAACATTCCATTCAATCTCAAATTTATTCACACATTCATTCATACACACACACACACAGAGGTTGTTATCAAGGTTGCAAGGTTGTTATCATAGTTACCAGCCTTAGAGTTGCTCGTGCCAAGCCACTGGCCAGGTAGCCTGGACATGAGGAGGGAGCAGGGGCTTGTCAGATGCTCATCGATATGCTCCCAGAAGTTGGTTTGCAGAATCAGACCCCAAAGTTCTCACTTTCTACAGTCCATTTTTATAGGAATTTCTTCCTATGCCAATCTATGGGAATTGCTTCATCATGCTGTTGCTGAATCAATCAGCAGATAGCACATTCCTGACGGCTCCGTTCTGCTAGATGTTATCTTGTTCTTTGGCTCTCCCATTCTTGAGGCTGTTGGGTGGATTCCAGTCTGCCCTCCGGGGGTCCTCTAGTTATTTCCACTTGACGCCTTTTTCAGCTGATGGACACTGGATTCTTAGCCTGGCACCTCCCTGATCATTCAGTTATTGTCCACACCAAGCATCCATCCACATACATCCTCTATCTCTATTTTAATTACAATTGTTAATACAACAAAAGGGCAGGGAGTCTCTGGGTGCCGTTTCTGTTGTTACAGAGTGTTGCTTTGAGTCTCTCTCTATGTGAAATGCTTTGAGAACAGACTCTGTCTTAGAATGTACTAACGCAATTAGCAGCTTGCAAGTTTCACACATAGAGGGAGAGAAACAGTACCAAAAACCAAGAGACTTCTTAGTTTAAATTCCAGGGTATTACTAATTATGGGGAATCAAATTCATTTGTGATTTTAATACAGAACTTCTTTAATATGATCCAACACACTTACCTCAAGCAGTTCCTGGAAGCAGTGGCATGTCCCCTCTCCAGCTCCTACGCGGAGGCACGGCCAGGCAATTCTGCTGTGCATTGCCCCATCCGCAGGCACTGCCCCTGCAGCTCCCATTGGGCATGGTTCCTGGCCAATGGGAGCTGTAGGGACGGCACTTGGGGCGGGGCAGCTTGTGGAGCTGCATGCATAGGGGGCCTGGCTGCCCCTATGCAAAGGAGCCAGAGGGAGGACATGCCGCTGCTTCTGGGAGCCATGCAGAGTGGCCCATGACTCTGGTCCCCGGCTGGAGTGCCGGAGCGGGACAAGCCCCAGACCCCACTACCCAGCGGGAGCTCGAGGGCCAGATTAAAATAGCTGGCAGGCTGAATGCGGACCGTGGGCCATAGTTTGCCCACTCCTGCCCTACAGCCTTCCCACACTACAATACTAATTATTCTCAAGGCCTTCTTTTACTTGCTGTTTGGGGGCTTTTTATAAGAGACACACATAGATATCTATATCTATGATCCTGAGATCAGCACTAATCTTTTACCTTCTGGATTGCTAATTTGTGAAGTGGTGCTCTGCTTCTCTTTTCTTTGTTGGTTAAGTCACACCTGTAACCAAACTTAAGATAACTTCAATTCTTTTGTGTTACATGTATTCTACAGGTGGGTATAAGCTAAGAACAAAGACCTAGGACTAGCTGGTGGGGCCTGAACCCTCTGAATGTAAGGGGATGTCAGCAAGTCAGAGAGCAACATAAGAATGGCCAAAATGGGTCAGACCAAAGGTCCATCCAGCCCAGTATCCTGTCTACTGACAGTGGCCAATGCTAGGTGCCCCAGAGGGAGTGAACCTAACAGGTTATGATCAAGTGATCTCTCTCCTGCCATCTATCTCCACCCTCTGACAAACAGAGGCTAGGGACACCATTCCTTACCCATCCTGGCTAATAGCCATTAATGGACTTCACCTCCATAAATTTATCCAGTTCTCTTTTAAACCTTGTTATAGTCCTAGCCTTCACAACCTCCTCAGGCAAGGAGTTCCACAAGTTGACTGTGCGCTGAGTGAAGAACAACTTCCTTTTATTTGTTTTAAACCTGCTGCCCATTAATTTCATTTGGTGGCTCCTAGTTCTTATATTATGGGAACAAGTAAATAACTTTTCCTTATTCACTTTCTCCACACCACTCATGATTTTATATACCCCTATCATATCCCCCTTTAGTCCTGGTCTACACTGGGGGGGAATGATGTAAGTTATGCAACTTCAGCTATGTGAATAACGTAGCTGAAGTCAACGTACTTAGATCGACTTACCGCGGTGAGTCAACTGCTGCCACTCCCCCGTCGACTCTGCCTGTGCCTCTCGCGGCACTGAAGTACAGGAGTCGACGGGAGAGCGCTCGTGGATTGATTTTATCGTGTCTAGACTAGACACGATAAAATCGATCCCCGTCGGAACAATTGCTGTCCGCCGATCCAGCGGATAGTGAAGACATACCCTTAGTCTTCTCTTTTCCAAGCTGAAAAGTCCTAGCCTCTTCAGGGACCCGTTCCAAACCCCAAATCATTTTAGTTGCCCTTTTCTCAACCTTTTCTAATGCCAGTATAACGTTTTTGAGATGAGGGGACCACATCTGTACGCCGTATTCAAGATGTGGGCATACTATGGATTTATATGAGGGAAATAAGGTCCTCTTTGTCTTATTCTCTGTCCCTTTTTTAATGATTACAAACATCCTGTTTGCTTTTTTGACTGCCGCTGCACACTACGTGGACATCTTCATGGATAGTTCTCTGATGACTCCAACATCTTTCTCCTGATTAGTTGTAGCTAAATTAGCCCCCATCATATTATATGTATAGTTGGGGTTATTTTTTCCAATGTGCATTACTTTACATTTATCCACATGAAATTTCATTTGCCATTTTATTGCCCAATCACTTAGTTTTGTGAGATCTTTTTGAAGTTCTTCACGGTCTGCTTTGGTCTTAACTATCTTGAGGAGTTTAGTATCGTCTGCAAACTTTGCCACTTCATTGTTTACCCTTTTCCCCTTCTCATTTATGAATAAGTTGAATAGGACTGGTCCTAGGACTGACCCTTGGGGAACATCTCACTAGTTACCCCTCTACGTTCTGAAAATTTACCACTTATTCCTACTCTTTGTTCCCTGTCTTTTAACCAGTTCTCAATCCATGAAAGGATTTTCTCTCTTATCCCATGACTACTTATTTTATGTAAGAGCCTTTGGTGAGGGACCTTGTCAAAGGCTTTCTGGAAATCTAAGTACACTATGTCCACTGGATTCCCCGTTGTCCACATGTTTTTGACCCCCTCAAAGAATTGTAATAGATTAGTAAGACATGATCTCCCTTTACAGAAGCCATGTTGACTTTGGCGCAACAATTTGGTTTTTCTGTGTGTCTGACAATTTTCTTCTTTACTATTGTTTCAACTAATTTGCCCGCTACAACCAGGCAGGGAAGCAGGTTACTGGTGTCTCAATAAAAAAGCTGCACTGTGAATCTGGTACAAATTTAATATTAGTAATAACATAATTTTAAATATAGTAAATTTTATTTTTTCTTTAACACTTGGTTCACATTAGATACCAGGGACAGATGGAAGAGAAATGCTGCCAGTTCCGTTGCATGAAACAGTTATTCCCAATGTGGGAAGACTTGTTGCATATTCAGATAATAAAGTCCACGCTCTGTTTTGTGATGGGATGACCCTGAATATGGTTTGGGATTTCAGCTCTTGTTGTGGAAGAACACAGGTAATTCTCAGGAACAGGGAAAATAGCTGTTTTTAAAATCTTTCTATCTGAAGGTGGTGTTAGTTAATAAATGTGAAGTCTAGGGAAAGTTTTATATTTGGTTCTGATAGGCATAAAAAGCAAATTGTGCAGTTGGGGAGCCTCCATCTGCCCTGAGTTTGTAAGTCACATTGGTTATACACTGGTTCACTGTCACTAGCTGGTAAATTGATATTTCATCTAGTTAAAAATCTGACCTTTCCTTATTTGCCACTATTGATATATTGCCAATATTTTAACAAGGGGGAAACTTTTTCTCCTTTAGCCTGTAATGGCAGCCCTTGTCTCAAACCATAACTAAGGAGAGAGGCACTGGTACTTATAAGTTTGTTTGCTATTATGTGAATTTTGCTGGAACTGTTTATCCTTGAAAAATATACTAAGTCTTGATAATATAAGAGTGCTCAATTTTTTTTTTTTGTAATTTGAAATGGAGTTTATCTCAGGTGATCATCTCCTCTCAGAAAAAGTGTTAAAGTAAAAGGATGGGGTATAACTTCACTTACATTTACAAATTATGTAATATTACCAACTTCACAAAAATGAGTAAATCACCAAGACTGACATGAAGTCCTGTTTACACTGGACAAGGAAACCATATTAATTTCCTCTAGCAAGCCATACTTAAGCAAGCTTACTAGGCAGTACTGATCGTATCTAAAGGCATGTGAGCTGTAGCTGGTTAGTTCTAGCTGAGAGCATCATTCTTGCCCTTCTTTTGCATCCTCTAAGAAATTAACAAATATTAAACACATTTCCCAAGCACACTTTTATCTTATTTCTTCTAAAAAGTTTGACACTCCTTTTTGTATTATTTTTTGGCATTAAATACGTCCTTTATCAGCAAATATTATAATAATGCAATATATGCTTCCTCTGTGATAAGTGACATGTGGAAATGGGATTCCATATTTATTTTGTAAATCAATTCAGTTTTCAAGTAAAAAATACTACTGCTTTTTTTTTTCCTGAGTGTCAAGTTGCAAACTCAGCGTTGATGGTGAGACTGAGAGTTGCTATGTGATTTCTAGTTCATGCATCATCGCTGGTAATAAAAGACTTGCCATTGAATGTTTAACAGTTCCACAGATAATGCTTGAGCTTGGGGAAAGAATCCAACTCACTCTTCTGTAGCTCTGTTGCGTTAGCATGTTAACTGAAGTAAAAAATACTTGGGGATGGGGGGAGCATTAGCAGATGTGACTAGTACATGCAGAGTAAGATTTGTTAAGAAATGATGTTTCATTTGTATGAAGTTGCTACTCTAACAATAACAACTTGAGGATCAAGACAAATCTATAACCTCATTCTACGGATGAGAGTAGAAGGAATTAAAAATTCTGAAAGACTGGACATTTCTTCACATGGGGTCAGACTGGAAGAGAAGGGGTTGAATTTTCCATTATTCTCAGACAGCACATTGAAATCGGTGTTTGGGCAATTCTTGGAACCAGGAACTCCCAGTTGGTGGTGTTTCTGTGATCATGCCACCAGACCACACCTTACATCCATAGCCAGATACAAAAGTTTAAATGAAGCATTTGCAGATATTTCTCTTTGAACTAGCATATGCTGTTGCTGTTATTTAAAGTAGGTATACCTCTTTGATTCCACTGCAGAACAGTTATGCTCTTTTGTCTGTCTTTTTTCCAAGATAAATCAAGGTGCTACCACAGGATGGTGTAAAGTAATCTGTCCTGATGGGGCACAGCAGCTAATCCAGATAAATCATCCTGGACTCTATGAAAGGTATAGCTGATGCATGGAACAAATTTAACAAATTCAGGAATTCAGTAAAAGTTTTTTGTGTCAAGAAATGTAAATAGTTGAATGTGTTTCTGTAAAACAGACTGTGGAAAAGGTTGTACCTGACTGACTAGCAAAGATCCAGATTGCACAGCTCAGGGCTTTAGACAGTTAATTTGATGGGATATTCACTTATTAATTTAATCATTTTTCCATCATTCTGAATAATAGCTATTAGGAGGTGAAGGAAGCAAAGCCTGTCACCTGAGGGATGCACTCAAGAGGGACTGCCATGGGGTCTAACTGTGATGCTACTTTTAATTGCTGGGGGGGGCTCAAATAACATATCCTAAGCAAAAGGGCTAGGGAGAGCACTTTTTCTTTGCTGAGGTACACCTGATATCCACAGCTACTTAAAGGGTTCAAAAAGGTTGCTTAACTTAAATTCTCTAAGAATTATTTTTATACAAATATTAACACAAATTTGATCAGACAGCAATTCTTGAATTATTTTAATGTTAATTTTCTTGTATCACTTCCATAAATTTGTTACGGCCAATTCTACTCACCATGATGACACAAATAGTCTAACTGAAGTTAGTGGGACTGCTGTTGTGAATATGCAAACGAGAGAAGCAGGACTTAAGCCCTTAGTTTGCTCATTGGCAGGCAGTTGTGTTAATGATGCAGTATAACAGCATGTAGTTTTTCTTTTAGAAAAACAACATGCTATGTCCTTATCCATTGTTTCTTGGACAGCTGCTTAGGGTGTTCAGATGCTGCTATGTAATATCTTACATTTACATAGCTCTTCTCATCATAAAGATTATCCAAGTAACTTGACAAACCGTGCACACCAGAAATTACTTGATCACTGAGATGCAACCAAGTGGACAACTGGCACACTTCGCAATATAGGAGTGGGGAAACTGTGGTCAAGGACAACCTGTATTCTTACAAAAATTCCTGTGGACTTTTTAATATCCATGCAGAGAAGACAATACCTCAGTTTTAAAGTTGCATTCAAATCACATGCATATCAAACTGAATGGAACTTAATTCATGGAACTCCTATATTATGAAGTTTAAGGGCTGAGTTGACCATATAGCATTCAAAACTCTAGTTTTTGGTTCCAGTGAGTTTGGGCATATCAAATCTGATGCTTTAGACCACTAAACTGTCTCTTTCTATCTTCAGTATCTAATCTCCTCTTCTCTCTATCACCTGAAACTCTAAAGAGTGTTTCACAAGCAACAAATTAAATGCAAAGTAATGTTCCTTGTGGGTTTTTTTTAGACATCATAAAATGTACTCAGTTGTACGGTAAGGTTCTTTTCATTTATATACAGGATTAATAAAAGGAAAAATTTCTTCACTGGGTAATCGCTTACTGATTCTGGAAGGTTTCTTGTTTTCCTCTTTTATCAAATTCACATAAGAATATCCTGGAGGTTAGCTCTATTCTGTTCCATTCCCTACTCCAGATTTATTGTTTAATGCTGTCAGTTTTCTGTTCAAATTTAATTAAGGGGTATTTGTCTGATCTAAATTATTATTTTTCTTTTTTATGAATTGTCTTCTGAATACAGATACATTGAAACAGTAGTAGCATGGTGCAGAAGTTTGAATGATGAGGAGGGAGAGACTCTTCCTGCAACTGAGAGAAACTGGTACTCATCACATATAACTTGCTATTCATAGTATAGAAGGAAACCACCAAAGTTTTAAACCCTAAATATGACATACTGCATTTTTTTAAAGATGAAAAATTTAAACCCATTTATATTTTGACTCCACATAATTTTTCTTACAATATTTTAAACTATACAGGCAGCTTGTGTTTAAACAGAGGCTTGTTTCCTCATATCTATTTTCTGTTTCTGTATTGAAGCCATAATGCTGAAGCTCTTGCCAAAGCAGAAGACAAATGTTAAACAGTGTTTTGACTTTGTTGCAAGATCAAACAGAGAAACTGGGCTATGAGAGAATCATCCTTATTAAAAAATAAAATACATCCATAATAGCATAGGAAATCCAGAAAATTCTAGTCCCAAAATGTATGCTTCCTTGTGACAGTTTACTATAAAAATTTTATAATCAGAAGAATATTTAAATTCTGTGTACACTCCCATCGTTTTGGGAAGTGCTCAGATAGCATGGTAATAGGCACTAAAAACACAGATTATAAATATGTACTTTGAAGGATAGGTGCTGGCTTTGTACTCTTCCTGTTGCTAAAGTGTTTGCTTGAATAACCACTATTCTGACCCCACAGGAACACATCTTGTGCTTCTACAGAATCTGCAACATTAGTGAAAGGGACTATTTAATCATATTTATGTCTGAATTAGTTTTATTTTTATTAACTGTTACAAGTAACATCTAAAATTACTACCTCAGAGATAGTTAAGGAAAAAATCTTTTATTGTTTGCTTTGTGCACGTCACAGGATTTTATATAAGCAGTTTATGTACAGTTTTCCGTGTGTGTGTCTTACACAACAATAGAGGAAACATTTTTATTTTTTTTTTAAATAGGGAAATGTGATCACAACCCCACAGTAACTGGCAGAGGGCTTTAGGGGCAGGTGTAGTACTTCCAACTGACTTTTTAAATTAACTAGACTTCTAGCTGTGTCCTTTTTGATTAATATGTAAGCTATTCCCTAGCACTGTGCTGACATTTAAGAATACTGGTACACCTATATAATTTGGCATTAAAAAGCTCTAGATTGATTGAATTAAAATTGGCGGGGGAGAATAGTCTCAAAGTAGAGCCCTCATCCTGTAAACAATTGCACATATTTAACTTTATTCACGTGAGCAGTTCCATTGACCTCAAAAATATGAAGTGGGGGGAGGAAAAAGCAAATCATTCTTTTACTTGCACAGGTCATCTATAAAACTGCATAAGGAAATAAAATCATAAGGGCGAAAGTACACATGAGAAATTTTTCATTATCTATCCTGCTATATAAAATAAGTTTTTTTGTTTTTTTTTTAATTTTATTTTAACAGGTCTGTGGTTGCTGAACTTGAGAAAATACATAGATTTAACTGTATCCTTTCAACAAAAATTTCTTTTAGCATATTTTGAGTGCTAAATGACCGTGTCCCTTTACTCCTTTTATTGTATAGGTCTCTGCTTTCAATGGTTACTATTTTATTTTTTTTAAAGTTTCTGCCCAGTTATTTATCCTAGGCCTGCCCCCGTGTCACACCACTGGAAACGCCAAAAAACTGGCAGAACACACAGAAATCCTCAAAAGGGAATAGTTCTGTTGTTCAAACTTCTATATTGTATCTTTTTATTAACCTTTTATTGTAAAGAGGAGTGATGTGTATGCCTTTTGGGCATAGACTTGGACTAGATAACAAAGTTATCAAGTGCCTCAACTTTGCTCCATTGTTAAGCCAGCTGAAAAAAACCTGTTACTTCATATACTCAAAACATCATGTAATTATCCCTAAATTTACTTTAGCTTTTTAACATGCCTTGTTAATTCCTTTAGACTGCACAATCTGATATCTTCCTTGATGGTTTTTCTTTTAAATACGCTTTGATATATACAGGAAAATACTAATTTAATATAGATATTTGATTGAAATAAGATGCGGACATATTAAAGAACTTTCACATATTTGATTTCATAGTTTTATTTATTGGTTGCAGTATGCGTTGGCAATTGAGAACCATGGTTAAAATATTTAAAATTTCTTTAATTATTAGAGGGAAGACAAAATAGAAATTTCCTTAACAACGCAACTGCTAGTCTTACTGCAGAACAGCAATGTTCCAAACAAGACTTCGTCTATGAAAAATTTTCCATCTCATATTACTGATAGACAACCAGAAAACAGTTTACCTGAGGATATTGGTGAACAGAGCATCTCAGAGGCTTTGGAAAAAACTTCAAAAGTCATCCAAGATATTGAATCTCTCCTAGCTTCTTCTGGGAAGTGACACTGGAGCAAGCACTTGAAAGACAGCTTTATTTAAATGTTTATGGGCTCTATCCTGCAGTCTTGTGCATCAAGTGGGATTTCTGGGTGTTCAAGGAGTGAAAGGTCAGGCCCTAAGAGCTGTAGGTTTTGTTCTGAATAAATGACTCTGCCCTACTGTAACAACAGAATTCTAATATGCCATACAAAGGATAGAACAGAAACGAGGTATATTTATGTAGTCTGGTTCTATTTACAGGTAGGGCTTGAGTAAAAGTGCCTTCTTTAATAGAAATTAAATGACAATGCATGTTTGTAAATTCCAACATACATACAGAATTGTTTTTAGCAGTTGTTACTGGTCAAATAACTGACTAGGCTATCGTAATCTTGTTAAGCAATTTTTAAATTTGAAAATCTTTTTTTTAAGAGATCAAAGGAATATTTAAGATGGCCCCTGAACTATTTCTGCTCTATACTTTTACTGTAAAATACTATTTTAAGAACGTCTGAAAATAAACCGTTTTTGTTTTTTATTTAATGAATATTTCCTTATAGTGCCTTACCTAAAACGAAAATAAGTTTTAAGTTATCATACTTATACATACTGTAGATAAAGAAAAAGTCTTCTACAACATCTTGTCTGTTCCTAACCTTATCAGCCAATACTACTAATCTAATCGCCTTCTATGATGAGATTACTGGTTCTGTGGATGAAGGGAAAGCAGTGGATGTATTGTTTCTTGACTTTAGCAAAGCTTTTGACACGGTCTCCCACAGTATTCTTGTCAGCAAGTTAAAGAAGTATGGGCTGGATGAATGCACTATAAGGTGGGTAGAAAGTTGGCAAGATTGTCGGGCTCAACGGGTAGTGATCAATGGCTCCATGTCTAGTTGGCAGCCGGTGTCAAGTGGAGTGCCCCAGGGGTCGGTCCTGGGGCCGGTTTTGTTCAATATCTTCATAAATGATCTGGAGGATGGTGTGGATTGCACTCTCAGCAAATTTTCAGATGATACTAAACTAGGAGGAGTGGTAGATACGCTGGAGGGCAGGGATAGGATACAGAGGGACCTAGACAAATTGGAGGATTGGGCCAAAAGAAATCTGATGAGGTTCAATAAGGATAAGTGCAGTGTCATGCACTTAGGACGGAAGAACCCAATGCACCGCTACAGACTAGGGACCGAATGGCTAGGCAGCAGTTCTGCGGAAAAGGACCTAGGGTGACAGTGGACAAGAAGCTGGATATGAGTCAGCAGTGTGCCCTTGTTGCCAAGAAGGCCAATGGCATTTTGGGATGTATAAGTAGGGGCATAGCGAGCAGATCGAGGGACGTGATTGTCCCCCTCTATTCGACATTGGTGAGGCCTCATCTGGAGTACTGTGTCCAGTTTTGGGCCCCGCACTACAAGAAGGATGTGGATAAATTGGAAAGAGTCCAGCGATGGGCAACAAAAATGATTAGGGTACTGGAACACATGACTTATGAGGAGAGGCTGAGGGAACTGGGATTATTTAGTCTGCAGAAGAAAAGAATGAGGGGGGATTTGATAGCTGCTTTTAACTACCTGAGAGGTGGTTCCAGAGAGGATGGTTCTAGACTATTCTCAGTGGTAGAAGAGGACAGGACAAGGAGTAATGGTCTCAGGTTGCAGTGAGGGAGGTTTAGGTTGGATATTAGGAAAAACTTTTTCACTAGGAGGGTGGTGAAACACTGGAATGCGTTACCTAGGGAGGGGTAGAATCTCCTTCCTTAGAAGTTTTTAAGGTCAGGCTTGACAGCGCCCTGGCTGGGATGATTTAATTGAGGATTGGTCCTGCTTTGAGCAGGGGGTTGGACTAGATGACCTCCTGAGGTCCCTTCCAACCCTGATATTCTATGATACTTTACAGGATTATTCCCTCCAGGATATTCTCCGCTGCTTTAACTAGTCTTGTGTTAAATTACTAATGAAAAGAAGCTTGTACTACCAATTATTTCCAAAACCCACAACACTCCAATAATTAATAAAACACTCTTAACCTGCTTGTTAATACTGAAAATTGTTTGTTTTTTTAGCATTGATACTTTGGAGCATAATGGTGGAGGTGTGTGTAATCTTCCTGAAAAGGCATTTGGGAGTCCCTGTCATGCCCTATGAATCAACCTGCAACCAACTTTAGTATTAGTTTAATTTCAAGAAAGAAAAAAAAAACCCTTAACTTCGAAATATTAAACCTGGTGCTTGAAGTTTTTTTTTTAAACTAATAGTGCTCATCTGTAGATGATGTAAAGAAACTGGAAAAGATCCAGAGGTGAGTGACAAAGCTCAAAGAGAGAGAATGTAAGCCATATGACTAAAGGCAGAAGGAACTGGGTATGTTGAGTTTGAAAAAAAAGGAGATGAAGAGGGGACAAGATATCAGTCTTTAAATACTTTAAAAGGCTGCCATAAATAAGATGGAGAAAAATTGTTCACTCTTGTTACAGAATGCAGGCTCAGAGGCAATAGGTTCAAACTGCATCATAGCAGATTTAGATTTTCTGCGTGGACTCCTCCTAACGGTCAAAATGACAGACTGGACTTCTACAAAGAGTGCTTCCACAGACATGCACAGGCTGAAAGCGTGAACAAACAGCATCACTTGCCCCATAACCTCAGCCATACAGAACGCAATGCCATCCACAGGCTCAGAAACAACTCTGACATTATAATCAAAGGGGCTGACAAAGGAGGTGCTGTAGTCATAATGAACAGGTCAGATTATGAACAGGAGGCTGCCAGGCAACTCTCCAACACCACATTCTACAGGCCACTATCCTCTGACCCCACTGAGGAGTAGCAAAAGTAACTACACCATCTGCTCAAGAAACTCCCTGCTACGGCACGGGAACAAATCTACACGGACACAACCCCGGAGCCCCGACCATGGGTATTATATCCGCTACCCAAGATCCATAAACCTGGAAACCCTGGATGCCCCATCATCTCGGCATCGGCACTCCTACAGCAGGATTATCTGGCTATTTGGACTCTCCTCAGACCCTATGCTACTAGCACTCCTAGCTATCTTTGAGACACCACCAACTTTCTGAGGAAAGTACAATGCATTGGTGAGCTTCCTGAAAACACCATCCTGGCCACCATGGATGTAGAAGCTCTTTTATACCAATATTCCACATGAGGATGGACTACAAGCTGTCAAGAACATTATCCCTGATGAGGCCACGGCACACCTAGTGGCTGAGCTTTGTGACTTTGTCCTCACCTACAGCCATTTCAGATTTGGGGACAACTTATATCTTCAAGACAGTGGCATTGCTATGAGTACCCACATGGCCCCACAGTATGCCAACATCTTTATGGCTGACTTAAAGCAACGCTTCCTCAGCTCTCATTCCCTAGCGCCCCTCCTCTACTTGTGCTACATTGATGACATCTTCATCATGTGGACCCATGTGAAGGAGGCCCTTGAAGAATTCCACCTGGATTTCAACAATTTCCACCCCACCATCAACCTCAGCCTGGACCAGTCCACACAAGAGATCCACTTCCTGGACACTACAGTGCAAATAAGAGATGGTCACATAACCACCACCCTATACCGGAAACCTACTTACCGCTATACTTACCTACATGCCTCCAGCTTCCGTCCAGGACACATCACACGATCCATTGTCTACAGCCAAGCCCTAAGATACAACCGAATTTGCTCCAATCCCTCAGACAGAGACAAACACCTACAAGATCTTTATCAAGCCTTCTTAAAACTACACTACCCACCTGAGGAAGTGAGGAAACAGACTGACAGAGCGAGACAGGTACCTAGAAATCATCTACTACAGGACAGGCCCCATAAGGAAAATAACAGAACTCCACTGGCCATCACGTAGAGCCCCCAGCTAAAACCTCTCCAGCACATTATCAATGATCTACACCCTATCCTGGAAAATGATCCCTGAGTCTCTCAGACTGTGGGAGACAGGCCAGTCCTCACTTACAGACAGCCTCCCGACCTGAAGCAAATACTCCCCAGCAACTACAGACCACAGAAACATAAACCCAGGAACCAATCCCGGTAGCAAACCTCATTGCCTACGCTGACCCCATATCTACTCTAGTGACACCATCCGAGGACCCAGCCACATCAGCCACGCCATCAGAGGCTCATTCACCTGCATGTCTACTAATGTTAAAAATGCCATCATGTGCCAGCAATGCCTCTCTGCCAGGTACGTTGCCCAAACCAGACAGTCCCTACGTAAAATAATAAATGGACACATCAGACATCAGGAATGGTAACGCACAAAAGCCAGTGGGAGAACACTTCAATCTTCCTGGACATTCTAAAACAGATTTGAAAGTAGCTATATACTCTAACAAAAAAAAACTTCAGAAACAGACTTCAAAGAGAAACAGCAGAACTAAAATTCATTTGCAAATTTAACACCATTAATTTGGGCTTGAAGAGGGACTAGGAGTGGTTGGCTCCTTACAGAAGCAACTTTGCCTCTCCTGGAATTGACACCACCTCATCTATTGTTGGGAGTGGAGTACATCCACCCTGATCAAATTGTCCACTTGTGAGGTAACTCCCTTCTCCATGTGTCAGTATATTTATGTCTGCATCTGTAACTTTCTCTCCATGCATCTGAAGTGTGGTTTTTACCTACGAAAGCTTATGCTCAAATAAATGTTAGGCTTTAAGGTGCCACCGGCCTCCTTGTTGTTTTTGCAGATGTAGATTAAATCTCAGTTAAATTTTTCTTAAGTAGGCTAGGACAATGGAACAAACTGCACCGGGCAGTTAGGGAATCTCCTTCCCTGGAGGGTCTCAGGAGCAGGCTGGGGTGAGCCCTCTCCCTTGGATGGTTTAGACACAACACAGGCTCTACCTTGGCAGGGGCCAGGGTTAGACTGTCTGAGCCTTAGGGGTCTGTCTAACCCTGTCACAAGCTGCTCTTGCTTTTCAGCTAGAAAAAAGCATCTCTGGGGCTTTTAACTGTTGGCTGCCCGGGGGTGCAGCTGGCGATGCGTTTACAGTCCCTGACCTAGGCGCCTGGGCTTATTTTTCTGGGAAACGTTTTCCAAGGGAACGCTGCGTAACCCAACGACCGTGTCCTCAACGCTAACTGGGCTGGCCTGGGGGCATCGGACGCTGCCACCAGAGGGCCGGAGGCCCTGTCTACCTTGGCAGCTGGCCACAGGTTTTCCCGCGCCGCGGCAACAGGCGCCGCCCCTCCCCTGCTGCGGCGAGAGCAGCCGCAGGCGCGGACAGGGCCCCTGGGGGCGGGGGTCCGGGGAGACGCTCGGCGGGTTTCCGGGGGGCCACCCGCAGGCCGGGCACCGCGCCGGGTGGGGCGGCTCCTGCAGGTCGGTCCGCTAGCCGCTATCCCAGAGTGCTCTGTGCCTGTTCGCGGGGGGGAGGGGCCGCCCGCTGCGTCGCTACAGGGATACGTGGGCCCCGCCGTGACCGCCGCCGCTGGCGGCAGCGCCTCCCTGTGAGCCGAGCCGGGCCGGCCCTTGACGTTGGGCGCCGCGCGGAGCGGGAGCCGCCGTCTGGGGAAAGAGGCGGTAGCGCCTCCCTGTGAGCCGAGCCGAGCCGGGCCGGCCCTTGTCGCTGGGCGCCGCGCGGAGCGGGAGCCGCCGTCTGGGGAAAGAGGCGGCAGCATCAGGAGCGGCTGGGACGAGAAAGGTCTGCGCTGCTGCCCCGGCGTGAGCGGGGCGGGGCTGGGGTCAGTTCGGGCGGGGCCTCGTCCCGGCCCACCCCGGCGTTAGGAGGGGGGAGTGGAGGGGCCCTGGCGCCGGCCCAGGCTAGGTTGGGCCGAAGCCCTGGTGTCGGTCCCGGCTGGGGCAGCCGGGGGAGCTGGCGCTTCGCCCCCTCAGACGCTCTCTTGGCTGCGTGGCCTCAGAGACTCAGCGCTGCTGCGGATTCCTCTGCTGCCTTAATTAGGCTCCAGTGTCACGCGCCCTGCCGCAGGGTGAGGGAGGGTTCACACACGCCCCTTCCCTTGGCACCAAAAGCTGGGACCCCGTCACAGCCTACTCAGGTTTTGCTCGGAGCAGCCGAGAGCCGAGACCGCCTAGTCTAGGGATCTGGGGCAGAGCAAGTGCTGAGCTGCTGCTTCGTCATCGCTAGAGACTAGCGGCACCCGGGACAGCTGGGCTTTAGCTCTGCTCTGTGCAGCCAGGTAGTAGTAGATTTACTGACTGCTCTTCAGAACTGCCTCTGTCAGGCTGATAAACTCTTCCATGTGGAGTCCTCCCCCGCACGCCCAGCCTGGCCATCCCCTGCTTGCAATAGTTCTGCTACCTGACTTTAGGTGCCTAAAAAATCATAGGAACAACGCTGTGATCTATAAAGCTGAGTTAAGCACCTAGGCTCCCGAAACAAGGGGGGGTGGCGGGGGGAGAGAGCTAGAGAAGCATCTAACAATATGATCCACAAAAGCTAGGATGCTAAACGGGGACTTGCCTAAACTAGCCAATCAGAGATGCCAACAACAGGAGCGTGTCCTATACCCTGCTTCTCCCTCCAAGATAGGTGCCTCCCTGCAGCCTGGATTTAGGTGCTTATCTTTGCTAGCTATCCACAAACAAGAACCAGTTGCTGCTGGACAGTCTCTACGTAAAAGAATAAATGGACGCAAATCAGATGTCAAGAATTATAACATTCATAAACCAGTCAGAGAACACTTCAATCTCTCTAGTCACTCGATCTCTGACCTAAAAGTTGCAATATTACAACAAAAAGACTTCAAAAACAGACTCCAACGAGAGACTGTTGAATTGGAATTAATTTGCAAACTGGATACAATTAACTGAGGCTTGAATAGAGACTGGGAGTGGATGAGTCATTACACAAAGGAAAGGAAAAGGAAAAGGAGTACTTGTGGCACCTTAGAGACTAATCAATTTATTTGAGCATAAGCTTTCCTGAGCTACAGCTCTATTTCCCCATGTTTATTTCCCCCCCCCCCCTTCCTGAGACGTTCTTGTTAACTGCTGGAAATGGCCCACCTTGATTATCACTACAGAAGGTTTACTCCCCACCTCACCCCCGCTCTCCTGCTGGTAAATGCTCATCTTAAGTGATCAGTCTCCTTATAGTGTGTATGATAACACCCATTTTTTCATGTTCTGTGTGTATATAAATCGCCTCACTGTATTTTCCACTGAATGCATCCGATGAAGTGAGCTGTAGCTCACGAAAGCTTACGCTCAAATAAATTGGTTCATCTCTAAGGTGCCACAAGTACTCCTTTTCTTTTTCCGAATACAGACTAACACGGCTGCTACTCTGAAACCTGCTTAGAGTTAGGCATATTAGGCACCTAAGCTGTTTCTTACATGAATGAGTTAGGTACCTGCCTCACTCCTCACAAAACAGCTGGAGGAGGTGGTGATGCCCACGTTTTGACTTTTGGCCTTGACTTAGAGCACTCATCTGGTATGTAGGAGACAGAGGGGTGGAGAGGATTTGAACAGGGGTCTCCCACCTCTGAGGAGAGAGCTTTAACCGCTGTGCTTTTGGATAATCCAATGTGGGGTTCTTGCTGTCACTACTGTTGAAGCTCTTCCAATATGGATAAATAATGGAAGAGTGATAGGAGCAGGAGGACTGGACCCAGGGTCTTTTCACCGCCCAGGTGCATGTCCAGATTACTGGACTACAGAGAGAGGGGTAAATTGGACCTGGATCTCCCACATCCCTGGTGAGTGCTCTAACCATTGGGCTAAAAATTACAAGATGTACACCATCACCTCCCACTTCTCCTTGCCAAGGAGTTCTCCAGTGGACTCTTTTAAAACAGTGGGCCAGATAAGACTGAACTTTCAGTTCAGTGGGTTTCCTAGAAAATATTTAGGAGGGAATGCAAATTACCCAGCTCTGGATCCATCCATTTGAAGTTGCAACCTGAGAGGAAACCTATTGTTTGCTGATCACCTGTAGCGTGAGGATGAGGTCAGAGCGCTATACTGGATAGAAGAGTGACTCTAAGATTCATGGGTGTGTTTGTTCTGAGCTAACAGCTGTTGTGAACTTGTGACCACAGAAAAACCCCTTGTTGGGGTTTGAACAACTGTTCATCAGTCAGAGCCTTTGCTGGAGTTGAGGCGATCTCTGGTAAGGTTATTAGCATGCATCACATGTAGGATCTTTAGTTGTCTTTAATATATTTTCTCTGTAATGCTTTTACCGTAGGAATAAATGTACTTGATTAGAGAGGGTTGTGTGGTAACTTACAACAGTGGCAATTATACTGTTTGTAGCCTCTGAGGAGAAAATCAGAGCAGGCCTGCTTAGTCAGTCTGACTTTGCTGGGAAATTCACAGTATAGGCAGGAAATTGTGCAGCCTGGAAATACCCTGGTTAGGAGACAAAAAGATGCATGCTTCTCTGACCAAGTGAGATGACCGAGCCAGAAGCCCAAGAGTGGACACTCTTGCTGGACCATGGAGGGAGAATACAGTTGCAGTTGCCATGAACTGTGACAGGCACCTCCTTCCGCTCCACCTCCCAGATCTTCAATAGGACTTGATCTGATAGGCATGTTTAGTGGTTGCCTACCAGATCAGGCCCTGCATGTGACTTAGGTGGACAAACATGTATCTTCCCCTATTCGTGAATTGTTCTGGGACTTAGGCAGGACATAGGCTCCAGGGTGCCTAGAGGGAGACAGCAGATTGCATGTCCCAGGGCACTGAAGTGCCTAAGGAATTTTTACTGCAGAAAATTAGGCTCTAAGTGAGTGTAGGTGCTTACAGGGTTAGGCAGCAGCTAAGGGAGAGTTTCGTGAATTGCAGTGGTGCCACAAACTGGGAGTTTAGGCACCTAAATTGCTTCGTGGATCACACCCCTAAGATCCTACCTATGTTTTGCATATTTCTGATACATCCCACCCCAAGTCGACTACTGCTGTAACTTCTGATTGCAAAGTACACTTTTAATGATGAATGTTTATGTGGAAAAATATAGCAGATTAGATTGTTTTGGGTTTTGATCTCTTGTCCCACTAGGTAATCTCTTGAGAGTTTGCTCCAGTGTCTTGAATATTAATAGTATGTGAATGGGGTAGCTTGTAGAATTTGTTTTTTTAGGCTTGAGACTTAATAGATTTTAAGGCCAGAAGGGACGAGTATGATCAAGTCTGACTTCTTGCCTAACACGGACAATGGAGTTTTCACCCATTACTTCCTGCATTGAGCCCAATAGCTTGTCATTGAGCTAGAGCAGATAGTTTAGAAAAATACCCAGGCTTGATTTTAAAAGTTAGTGATGGAGAATTTACCACATCTCTTTATAATCTATTCCTGTTGTTAATTATCATTGCTATTAAAAATGTGTACCTTATTTCCAGTTTCAAATTGTCAAGCCTCAGCTTCCAGCCATTGGGTTTTGTTATGCCTTTGCTGAATTAAAGAACCCTATAGTCTAGTGTCTGGTATCATCTTCCTATGAACAAAGAATGGCCACACTGGGTCAGACCAAAAGTCCATCTAGCCCAGTATCCTGTCTTCCGACAGTGCCCAATGCCAGGTGCCCCAGAGGGAGTGAACAGAACAGGTAATCTTCAAGTGATCCATCCTATTGCCCATTCCCAGCTTCTGCCAAACAGAGGCTAGGGACACCGTCCCTGTCCATCCTGGCTAATAGCCATTGATGGACTTATCCTCCATGAACTTATCTAGTTCTTTTTTGAACCTTGTTATAGTCTTGGACTTCAACATCCTCTGGCAAGGAGTTCCACAGGTTAACTGTGTGTTGTGTGAAAAAAATACTTCCTTTTGTTTGTTTTAAATCTTCTGCCTATTAACTTCATTTGGTAATCCCTAGTTCTTGTGTTATGAGAAGTAAATAACACTTCCTTATTTACTTTCTCCACACCAGTCATGATTTTATAGACCTCTATCATATCCCCCCTTAGTAGTCTCTTTTCCAAGCTGAAAAGTCCCAGTCTTATTAATCTCTCCTCATGTGGCAGCCATTCCATACCCCTAATCATTTTTGTTGCCCTTTTCTGAAACTTTTCCAATTCCAATATATCTTTTTTGAGATGGGGCGTGTGATGGTCTGGACCCCCAAGGTGTCATCTGGTGTGCTGGGACACCACTGAGTCAGACTATTCTACCCTTTCATCTAGTATTGCTGGGCTTGGCTCCCTAGCCTTTTCCAGCCAAGCACACAGACAGGGACACGCCCAGCTTCACAGAGAGACAGAGATCCGCTCTGGGAAGGCTCAGCTTAAGGTGCTTGCCACAGCACCCAGATGTCTACCCCCCCGTTTGGAGTACAAACCCAAAATTATATAAAATGTGCCTCTTCCTTCAATGTGGAGGAGGGTGTACACAGCTTCTGGCCCCCCCAGCTTAGAAATCACATAAACTAGGTTATATTGTAAACCAGAAGTAAATTTAACAACTATAACAGGTGTATTTTAAGTAGTTAAAGAGGTAGCAGACAGAACAAGGCAGATTACTAAGAAAATAAAAATGAGCACTCAAACAGCTTAATACACTAAAGAAACTGGTTACATGCAAGTTCTGATCCTAAATGTGGTTCTAATAATCTTCTTCAGAGGCCAGATGCCCTTCCAGCCTGGGTTCAGTTCTCTTCCTCCAGTTCAGTCTAAAGGCACATCTACACTTGCAAAATTAAAGCGCCAGTAATTACAGCGCTGCTCAGAGAGCACA